TTATCAATTTGATTGCCACTACACTTGTAATCGTTATGGAGCTCCATTTTCAAAAAGATTCTGATGGAAGCGGTTTGCTTTGGTATTTTGAAAAGAATATCTTGAGTGACACGTTTGATATCGATGGAAGTTAATGCATATAGGAGAAACCTGGGAAAAACGAATTTTCCGCTTTACATTGAAATGGTAACTCGGCTATCACGAAAAGAGCTATAAAAATATTCGTCTAACCTCCTTCAATAACCCGCAATCAGTTTTAGGATAATGACACCATGCTAATTCGCTACCAGACAACAAAATCACATTTTAACAAAAATATTGATTTTGCAAGGTAAGTACTCGCAATTCCAATTCTCTACGATTCTTACGAACAGGTGTTCAAGGTATCTAAAGCCATGTACCTGATTAGCGTTACAGCTTGCCGTTCGGCCCGATCCAGGCTCTGTCGGTTTTTCAGCGCAACAGCAAAGGAATGTTTGGATAGACATACCGGTGCGGCGAGCACCAATGTGTTATTTTGTAATGTACAAGTACTTAGAAGTAACAGAATTATTTTTCTTACTTGCATATTTTCCTTTAAAACTTCGATCAATGCCTCATAAACTTCTGGAATGATGTAGCTGATCGATTGCTTTGAAATTCGAAACATGTATTGCAAACTACTATATGAATGACTGGTCGCTAAAAACGCACCGTGACTTGCACTGTGATAGCAGCTGTCCATTTTGTATCTCGTTTTCGTATTTTTGGCCCAATCAACGTGGGAAAATATTCAAAATCCGTCGGAGACATCCTCGTAAAATGTTTGTACTGTCCACTTGTTGAAATTCCAATTCCGTTATCAAATTGTTGCAACCGTGTGCTGATCTATTGCCGCTTGTTTTTTGATAATTAGTAGTGAATATTAACATAGACAGCTGCTGCTACTGCTATTTCCATTTTCGCTAGTATCCGTCTTTCACTGAACGACACACATCAAAATCGGATCGTCATTTTGTTGCGCGATGTCGTTGCACGACTTCGTTCGGTTTGTGGTGATGTTTGTTGCACGACTTCGTTCGGTTTGTGGTGATGTTTGTTGCAATGCTGTTCGTCAGAATGCGCGTGCTGCGGTTCGTCGCGTGGTTCGGTTGGCGATGTTGTTACATATCTGTACATGGCTTAACGAATATTTTAGTCATACAAATGAGAATGACTGAATCAAAGTTTTGATAGGAAACAAGAAAACTCTCAAATGAGTGCCTTCTGTCAGAGCGGTTAGATTAAAGTGGAGTCTTACTTGCCTGTATCCCTCTGTTGTTAGTGAATTTAAAATTGATGTTTTAAAGCATACAAAGATATTTGAATCAAAATAGTACAATAACTGCAGAATCTGAAAGGACAATTGAAATAAAATAGTTCTGCAGAGACTGTGAAGGACTTTTGCGGTAACTATAGCATTAACGTTTATCGTATTGTGTGTTGCATGATTTCAGACAATTTCAAACAGTTGGGTTGTGCTGCCCGAAAATCGACGAGCATTTTTCATTGTGGTTAAGAATACGCCATTCAAAAGCACCATATTCTTCAAGTAATGAGCAAACGAGTATCATACCAAATTTCGATTTCTTTGCATATCTTCAGCCATAAACTCCTTGGCCGTAGGTATGGAATATAGGGTGGTTCACGAATAGAACATTCTATCAATTTAGGTAACTTAAGGTTACTTAAATCTCAGCAGTTTTAATTTATCTTATAAAATCAGTAGAAAACTGTTAAAAAATGGATGAAATTGTCACTAAAACATGGACTTTGTTTTTAGATAACTTTTAATAAGTTATTATCATATTAGGCAATAAATACACTTTCACCCACGTAATACTGTAAAAACTATGAAAAATTGGTAATTCTACAATCTTTTTTAATATCAAAGTGCATTGCATGAGTCCCAAAGCTTTCATTAAAAGGTCTACGTCAAATCCCTTAAAATGAGACATCGATTTTGTCTTTCGGTTAAGGTGTTCTCGAATTCTCTGTACTGTATCTAAAGGATGTTTGATGACACTAAATATCCTTTACGTTTTTACCATTTTTACTTTCTATGCCTTTTGGCGACGAAGTATTGTAATCGCGAAAATGAGGTATGTTTTTTGGATCTACATCATGAAAAACGATGACGCTCGTTTGCTTGAGGAGTCCGCTTGGTTTTTGATGAAATTCTCACAAAATGTTACTACTATGCCAAGGACGAAAAAGCTTTTCAGTTTAGTGGCGGCGGAGGAAAAAGTTAAAAGTGGAAAAGAATAAAAATCGCTCAAATTTGTTTTTTTGACATTTCAAAGGATTCTGATCATTTTAGAAAAAAATGGGGTTGCATAGGACTGGCGAGGCTACTTCTCGCTGATCTAAGAGTCTCCTCCAGCCTATCAACCAGATTAACATAAACAACAAAACATAACATTAAAACAAACGAAATGATTACAAAAATTGTTGAAAATGGCCCCTTCACTTAGTATGCATGCTTCCGCCCTCCTTCTCAAGGAATTGCGCACTCGTTGAAATATCCCTGGAGTGTTTTTCATTCTATCACAAGCTGCAACTATTCTTTCTCTTGATTCCTTTACAGTGTTAATGGACTTGTGTACACTAGTGTCTTAAGATAGCCCCACAAAAAGAAATCTAGGCTGATGAGGTCTGGGGATCTTGGTGGCCATTCTTGGGGCCCACCGCAGCCAATCAAACGATTTGGATAAACAGTTTGTAAATAATTACGAACAGCTACACTTAAATGCGCTGGTGCACCATCATGCATGTACAACATATTATTTCTTATTACTAACGGAACATCATCAAGCAGCAAAAGCAACTGTTGTTGAAGAAAATTGAGGTAAGTCTGTCCGTCAAGTCGTCCCGGCAATAAAGATTGGCCAATAAAGTGGTTGCGAATAATTCCTGCCCATCCGTTAACCGAAAATTAGTGTTAGAAATGGGTTTCGGTTACGGCATAGGGATTTTCTTCTACCCACAAATGATTATTGTTCAAATTCTGAATAACATTTTTAGAAAAATTAGCTTCGTTCGTGAACAGAATCATTGATTCACATTGCGGATTTTGTGTAACTTTTTGAAGATACCACTGACAAAAGGTCACACGCCTTGGAAAATCAATGGGAAGTAATGCCTGTACTCTTAAAATATGGTAAGGATATAAAAAAAAATCCACTAAAATTCTCCAAACAATTTGATATTTAAGTGTCTAGCGATCTTCCTCGTACCCGTTTCAGGATGTTCTTCGACTTCGTGTAGTACTGCTTCCTCAATTCCAGGTGTTATCACACTTAGAGGTCTACCTTCATATGTTCCTTTTCGGACAGAACCAGTTTCAACAAGACGACGATGAATATTAGAAAAGGTTCGACTATCTGGCAAAGCACGATCGGGGTATCTGTGGTGATAAATCCGTCTGGTTTGCTGTCCATTACCGTCGGCAAGGCCATATACGTAATGCATTTCTGCCATTTGAATAATTCACCATTATTAATAACTGTATTTGAGCAAAAAAAATTGATTTTTCATCCATTAATTCTACGCTCTTCGTAACATACTGAACACTAAACTACTATTAATGATTTCCAAAGCACTTGTGGTGCCCCTTTTGGTATATGGCATAATTGTGGGGTGGTATGTACGGTTCGAATCTTGGGCAGTTAAAAGTGGTGCAGAACCATATTGTAAGGATTATTCTAAAAAAACCTAGAATATATCCCACTATGCAACTTTATCCTTAAGAAATAAACAATATTAAAATCTTATATATCCTTGCAGTATGTAGTTTTGTACATGCAAATAAGAAATTAAATACAACCAAAAAATTTTACAATTTGATTCCTGCGAATATCAGGAATATTGAAAATAATAAAAAATTTTATGTTTTGTTTAAAATGTTTTGTTGGGAAAATCGTGAACAATTTATGCGTTTATTTTACGTTGCTTTGAGGTAGATTGATCTGCCTATTTGTTTATTTTCTTTCTTTTTGATATAATTGCGATACTTTTTTCTATGATTTTAAGTGAAATCTATGACTTACAACAAAAATATGAAATTTTCTTTCATTTTGTCTATACCGTGTTTCATGTTTTGTTGGTAGTGTTGAGTGATTTTATACAAAAATATATATTGCACGATATTTATTAATTAATTACTGTTTTGGACTGTTTTAGCGCATACAAGTTTTTAAACTTAGGCACTCATATATTATAGAGAAATCTTGTTTTTGTTTTTGTTATTGTATAGATATATATTATTTTTCTATTGGTAAATTTGGGTTTTGCTGAATAAACGTGGTAAAAAAAGATTGTAAAAAGTAAATAATCAAAAAGATGTAACAGCGAACAGATTTGAATAACAGAGATATGTCAGATGTCAAGAGCTAGTGACATATTCCAGAGCAACTAGATATTTATTGCTAAATTGCATTCTTCAATTATTACATTAATTTTCTCGAACAATAGAACGGTTTTTATTTTTTTACTCAAAAATAGCGTATTGAAGGAAAATAATTCAAGAGAGATCATTTGATTTAAATTGAACGAGGAATTCAAAAATAATTTTTATTTGGCAAAAAACTATTGGCGTACTATTTTTTTCTTAAAAAATATCGAAGTCATAACCCGTACGCACGCCACTGTTAAAGCTAAAAATTATTTTTGCATTGAAAAATATGCAACTTTATTAACTTTCACTACGTACTAAATATCAGTGAAATATCTGGAGCGGTTCTGAAAATATTAATTAATTTCCATTTTTTTCCTCAAACTTCAACAAGCCGAGTTTTTGTAAGGAAACATTTTTGGACCATAGTTTATAAAGCAAACTAGCATTAATTTTTCATGTAGATTCACACCATTAAATATTCGCATATCATTAAGAAACACCCTGTATAAGAAATCAAGGCTATCAATAACTTTAACATCCATACTTATTGAACTCTGCATCTTTGTCATCAAATATGTATTTGATCGTTCAAACCCGACGCATTGCGGTCTACGAGGTGAGTAGAGTTCAAACCACTCGGCAAGTCTATCAACTGCTCCCCACTACTACGTATAATCACCTGTGAACTGGCTGTGCGTAGAAAACGGTATACCGGTATTCGTGAAAGCTTCCTATACATGTTAGCTGTTAAATTCGAATTGGAAATGGGTGACGGAGGGTGTTGTTATTCTTTCTGGATAACCATAATTGTTCTTCTGTACATATTCTTCGATGTGAACTACTTCCTGAGGATAGCATTCACCATCGGATGGGGTAGATTGTTTCAGAAAAAGAAGAAGGTCGATGAAGAAACTGAGATTTATGGTAGGCAAATTTATTTTGGCTATGGTGTTGGGTAATTTGTAAATAATTGGAGAATATAAGGTTATCGTAAATAGCTGGATATGTTAACAAAAATATAATTACAATTCATTTAAGTGCAAAATGAATACGTACATGGCCAGGTTGTAAATGGTAATTTTTTGAAATCGCGATCGCGGAATATTACATGACGTTTTGAGTCTTAGTTATTTGTTGTTGCCTGTCATTATTGATTTACCACTTTGTTATTTGTAGTGAATGAGTAACATTTCATTTACATGCTTAGGTGACGAAAAATGGTGGTCTTCCAGTTCGTGTTTACAAGTCGTATTTTATTTAAGCAATTTTAGTATTAGTTCTGTAATATTCTCAATTTATTATTTTTTTAAACTCCAAAAAACATCACAGGTAAATGGCAGCCCAAATAATGTGCAGAAATTATGTTGAATTTATTAATAACAATAATAATAATAATAATAAGGTAGGAAAATGCACACAAATAAATAACTCATTATCATACGCTGACAGAAATTAACAATTTCATATTAATAAGGTTCTAAGGCCTAATAATAAAATAAGCTGGATCAATACAAGACTATGAGCACTAATACAAGAAAAAAAATAACAATATGTTCTACTAAGTAAAAAAATAAAAATAAAACAGGGCCAACAATATGCTCTAGGTAGCACAACACCTCACTGTAATGTGATATTCTAATTAATGAGAAAATCAAAAACTAGTTTGGCTAGCAGACCCCAGAAGATGGGTCTTGATAGTTTTTTTTTTTGAATGCATTTGCTTTTGCGTGTATCATTAAGATCATTAATCACTTTCACAGCATTGTAGGTGAAGCTACGATGGAAAATATTAATTTTGAGATTTTAAGTATTGACATCATCGCGTAGCACAAGCTTCTTTAAAAGATTATTAGGTAGCCTATTGTATCTGAGTCTTTGGACTAAGATGAGCAGGTTATATGTAGAAAGCTGGTCAACTCTCAACCATCTCAACCCATAGATCTTTTGAGACACATGTCAAAGCTTTCACAGACCATAAACAAACCTACAGTAGTTATTTTGAATTTCACCAAAGATTTAGCTAGTTCTTTGCGAGTCTTGAAGTTAAAAATATGTCGATTAGAGTATAAGCTATTTAAACGCATATACCTATGTTGATCCAGATACATTTGTAACATGTTGCTTAAATCTCAACTCTGGATCCATAACGACTCCTAATTCTTTGCCTGATCTAATCTATTATTAAGTATACCTAAGTTCATTTTACAAGACACTTCATGCAAAGTCAAATGAATCAAATGACACAGTCAGCTGAGTGTTGTCTGCGTAAGTCTGAATATCCCAGTGTTGAAGACAATCATGTAAGTGACATGTATAAACTAAGTAGGGTAACGGTTCTAACACGGAGCCTTGAGGCACACCGGATGGAACATTTTCCACCAAAGAAATTGTACCCTTAAATATTTTCACCTTCTGGATGTGATTGTTCAAATATGATTCAAAGAAATGTAGTGGCTTGTCAGAAATACCATAAAATTTCTGCTTACTTAAGAGAATTCCATGATGTACCATGTCAAAAGCCTTAGAGAAGCCTAGCAGAATCAGGGTAGTTTCCAATTAATTATCCACATTTTTGATGATATCATTCGTGATGTTTAATAAGGCAGTTGGCGTGCTATGATCTGTACGGAAACCAGATTGATACTGAGGAATCATTTCGTTTTGCTCAAAATGCTGGACGGGTTGAATGTAGAAGATTTTCTCTAGGACCTTTGATAAAAAATACAACAACATTGACAATATGAGTAACGTGGTTTAAAATTTCGGAAAAGCAGAGATGTACTGCGACTAAGACCATCACAACCCGATGCATCAGACTTTATGGAAAATAAAAGATGATCCTAGCGAGAACTAAATGAAGGAGTACTAGTGCTGACGGAGTTATTTTCATATTTATGAATGGTAGACTCCATAACCCCACCTGGATCCGCGCCTGAGCATAAATATAATAAATCAATTAAAAAAAAACAGTAGTCCTCAAACTACACTGGTTTTATTCTCTGCGAGATGCAAGCGGCCTTTATAACCTATTATGATTTTTTAATATTGACAAATATTCTTAGTTTAACGTGATATATAAGAAAACATGATGTTTTTAGTTTATTTAAATAATTATTTTTTTGAATGTAATCATTAGATGTAATTATTAAATTATTAAACTGATTTGTTAGATGTTGAAAAGATTTACTTTTGCGCTATTTATGTCAATTTCAACATGAAAAATCATATCAAAATGTAATAAAATTATGCATGGCTGCTTTTTTCATTTGAAAAAATAATGAAAATATGAAAACCACGAAAAAGGCAGTACAAACTCTTTGCAGAGTATAAAAGCTTTAAATCACATGTTACTGCCTGACAACACCTATAAAATATAAATACATTTAAATGACTGTCTATAAGTCATGTAACTTTGTAATATTCGTTCACTTTTGTTCTGTCGTAGTGATACGAATCATTTAGCTTGTTAAAATCCAGAATTTTTTACTCTACTTCCTCAGACTTTATTTTGAACTTTACTGCGTACGAGTGTACAGCTGTAAGGTCTTTATAAAAGAAACTTCCCTTTTTTTATCTAAGAACGTGACAATGTGGAAACTATTTCAGTAAATATTTTCGCACCTTGTTACGGTTGTAAGTTTTAACTATGCAAGGAAACGTCTTCCTTCGTTAAAATACTCATACATGTCCCACTTCCGTTTCAAAACACGCCAGTTTGTCGTAACCATCTATTTCTTATCATTAATTAGGTGCACACCTGGCCATGTTACCGATATTTTCTATTTTTGTTTAGTTAGTACCGTGCTGTCGGTATTACAAGATTAGAAAATAATTGAGTATACAAACGGCGGATGTGGATCAAATTTCCACGGGCAACTCTTGGGTGCTTGTTTTAACTTGAAATAGAATTGAACTTTTGGCAAACAGCAGGATCTGGATGAGATGCGTTGCGCTTTGTTAGAAACTAGATAGCCGTTTATTGACAGTTTTTCATTGTAAAATGAACATTGACATTTTAATGTTGATATGTCAGTCTGCATGTTGGCTTATATTCGTCCGCCATGACCCCCAGTAACCGGTGCTTCGATTTCAACTAGATGATATTCTATAATTCTATAAATATCTGCATTAGTAGCAAGGAATGTTAGTTTCTGCTGTATTCCTAGAGCTAGAGGCTCTTGAGAATCATTGCATTTTGAAGGTTTCCGACCATAGACGCCCGCAGGAGGAGGCCAGGAGGGCGATCTATTCCTAAGACTCCCATATTTAGTATGTTTTGTTTAACAATATCTGTGATTTTAAGATTGCTCCCGCCCCTGGGAAAATATGCCACCCCCACCCATCGAACTATGGCAGCTTGCTCTTCAACATATAAAAAAGGTTTCATAATCCTTCTGAGAAAAAACCTGTGGCCGCCTATGATTCCGAAAACCCCACGAATGTTTATTGACTACGCTTAAAAATGTATCTGACTTCCCAAACACAAACAATCCATTATACGCAAATTTTCCACAAGTTAATATATTTTTTTAATTAGCTATTCATAAATTCGTGGTACATATTGAACGAGGCTACCCAGTTTCGACATTCATTTAGTAGGCACCCCAAGCATGTATAGTCGTTTATTTTATAAATGACTATTTTTGGAAAGTACCATCAAGCGCACGCTACGAGTATCAATGGATTACTAATAAAACATGTTGTCTGTGCACGTGAACAAACAATGGTTTTCGTTGCAGCTTATCATATAATATGGATACGCATATTACCGTTAAAGGTTTAGCTGATAATGAAATTGGAAATTTTCTTAATGTCTGGCGGCGAATTATAAATATTTTTTTTATTGCTAATTATTGACCGCAAAAAACACATAGGTAAATAATCATGTCATTTGAAATTGTGTCCTGTCATTTTCGTTGAGTCATTTTGACACAGAACTTTATATTTCGGAATATTCTAGAACGATTGGGAAACAAGTAATTTTGGGTACAGCTCCTCATGTAGCTCTCCTTGAATACTCCAACAATGGTAACAAAAAGAAAACATTTGTACCTTACTCATCTTAGCTGGGCCAGTAAACCAAATCGGCAAGGTTGTTACGTAAAAAACCTATAAAATGCCGACAAAAAAAAAAACAGTAAAATGTCAACTAGTTTTCTAGGTAGGTATGTTAAAAGGACCGACATTACGTCACTTTTTGAGTTACGTAATAGCGCTGCCAATATCTGTTGCATGAACTAAAATCCGAGTTTGCCGATTTGGCACCAGGTAACTAGATATTTTAACGTATCTGGAAAGTGAGTTGAAAACATCATTCTCGTTACTTAAAATCCTGCACATCTTCGCGTTATAAGAGCGCTCAACCAATAGTGGCCCACTTCTCAAACTGGGTATGTAATGTACTATTTTTTTTATCAACACCACAATGTGGAATTCTGCAGAGTCTACATATTCATTCATAGTTATTATGCAAGAAAAAATAGTTATGCACTTTGGACTTTGAGTCATGATCAGCAATCAATAATAAATTATACCACAGCTTTTTTCGTAGGTAACAATATAATAGAAGGCTACTGAGGCCAAAGGCATAATAATATACAGGGGGTCCCAACAAAAATGGAAAGTAGTTTTATGAGCAAGCTGGCAAAGATATCAAAAATAGGATTTCGTGGTAACCGTGACATATTACTAGTGCATATTTTGCAATTATCTTAATATATACAGGACGTTCCATAACTTTTCGCGGTATCAAACATATTTTTTTTAAATATAATTCCGTATATTTCATTGCATATTTGGATAGAGCTTCTAAAAACAAAAAGATTGATATCAAATAACATATAGTACCGATTGTTAATTGTTTAGATATTTAGTGAAATGTCTGAAAAAATATCCAACTTTGACAAATACATGTTTGCTATGGCAACGAAGCTATGGAACACCCTGTATATATTATTAATTTTAAAATATGCACTAGTAACATATCAAGGTTACCATGTGAATAGATTTTCGATATATTTTCCACTTCCATTTTTATTGGGACACTTTGTTTGAGTAATAAATCGTAAAATAAATATCGGTTTTTATTACGCTTTAAGGCCCGAATCGTCAGTCGTCCCTACAATTGTAGGGCGCGTTGATGGCCTCATTGATTGTCATACTCCTTTCTCTCCTTCAAACATTTCTAGATTACACTTGTCCCGTGTCAGCGTCAGCACTCTCCTAATGTTAAGATATGTTTTCTTTTTAAATTGTAGGAAATTTCAGGCTGATAAAACATGATATAACTCAAAAGCAAGCACAATTTGATGCAAATAGATGTTTGTGACATAACCTCAAAATATAGCGCTGACAAGGAGAAGTAGAAAACTATGACAATCAAGGAGGCCATAAAGGCGCCCTACAATTGTAGGGACGACTGACGATACGGGCCTAAGTGATGGTTTGAATCTTGGAATTATTGTTATTCTTTTTCTTTAGATTGCTAAGATGACGCTGGCGGTGGAAAAACTTTTGTAGTTATAATAAGTCCATAATTATTGTTTTTGAAATTACCAAGACAGGAGGGAGGATTGTAAATATATCACGAAAAACCATGTCACTGATTTCCGTGGGTCTGTCTTCTGTCTGTCTGTCCGCTGATTCTTTGCCCATCTATAACTTGGAAAGTACTGCTCGGACTTGGATGACATTTCTACACAAGACTTCTGTGCCAAGAACGAAAAAACTGAAAGTAGCTCCAGTGGCGGCGAAGAAAAATGCAAAAAACGAAAAAAAGTAAAAATCGCCCATTACAAAAAAAAATTGTAGTGGATGAAAACTGGATGATGGGGGTTGTAAGGGGTAGGGGAGAGTAAATGTCAAATCCTAGAATCTTATCTGGCAACTTTGCTACCAGATTCAGATTCCGCTACATTATTAGGAGTTTTAAATATAAAAATGTTTGTTAATTCACCTGCTAACGATATGCTATTGTATTTACTGGAATCCTTTGATTTAAAACAAATTGCCAATGAGCCTACACGCATCACAGGGCTTTCGAACACTCTAATAGATTTGATTATCTGCTCTAAAGACCAAGACACTAGAGATGTTAAACTTTTACCATCCCACAATATCTCGGATCGCTGTATCATTACATGCGAAATAACTACTGCACTAATCCGTAACAAAGTTAGACATTATACCTTCCGTGACTTCAAGCATTTTGTCCAGCAAAAACTCCTTGAAATATTTTATTTGGTTCATTGACACTCAAATGTTAATCAACTGAACACAAAGAATAAGCATATATCTTGGTTATCCCGAGACATTCAACATCTCTATTTAAAAGGTCGTACATATGTACTGCATTCAAGCTATACAACGCGTTGCCTACCGAGTTCACTCACTACTCTATAAAGAATTTCAAGAAAAGATTGAAGCATTTTATGTCTCATTTCATTGCCCAGTAAGTAGACCATGGCAATGAATAGGGACTCGTTACAGGTTTTTTTTTTAACTTTTTTGTTTTTATTGGGATTAGAAAATTTACACAAATATTTGTTGGTTTAAGTTGAAAAATGCTTTTTAGCGACACTTCGCCTTTTTATACTTTGTATAAATAAAGCCGGATTATTATTATTATAATACTATATAGTATATAAGTACGTATTTAGAGCTATTATAATCAGTTATCAAATATTGTTGATATACACCAAAGCTTCAAAGAAATGAGGCTATCGTGTAACGTATATGCTCATTGCTGCAATCTGGTGAATTTTTTCCATGAAAAACCTAAATACTGTACTAATATTTCTGATAAAACCTGCGTCTTTTATGTCATTGTATTAGATGGAAGATTGTACTAGAAGGCGCTGATAGATATAGCATCAATCTGCTTGATGCCATTATTTTAAAATCGTCAATGTCTTTCAGGTAAAGTTGGATGTATTTCTGAAGTGAAATATTTGATAACCATAATTTATTTACACTCCAATCATGTCTGTACATTTTCGACATCTTATTTAGAGCTTATATTTCCCATTTCCACTGCTACTATCATTTGTGATGCTATTACAGGAATTTGCACTACACAAGATGTTGACATCTTCTTGAAGCACATGAACAATGCCAGATACGTGAGAGAGCTAGACTTCGCCAGGTTCCACTTCTATGACAGAACTGGAATATACGATGAAATTAAGAAGCATAATGCTCACGTTCTCCAAACTGCATCGAATATACGGTACCGAAGAACCATACCATTATTGAATGTATACAAAGTGGTCACTAGGGTAAGTCGAAGAACATAAGAATCTTTCATTGTATTACGTTTGAGTCATATCAGTTTTGTTGGTTAACTTATGCTCATCATGAAAGTACAAGTACAAATGTAAGAGATCAGTTTGAAAAGTTTAAGGGACAAATGACAAAGTGGTGCTCCACAGGGAGCGGTTTTAGTCTCCTATGTTGTTTCTGCTCTATACTAATAATCTAGATCTAGAGCAAGGAATACTGCCAGCCATTTTTTCTCGGGTTCAAGATCTCAAAGTTATCACATACTGGGAGCATAGGATCATGGTGCAGTTCCATGCTTATTAGACTCAAAAAGTTAACTGTTCACAATCGTGGTGGTTAATTATAACATTAGTGCTGGATATGTCACGAATACGTCTCCAGATTCTGCATTCGTGACTGTTTTAGTAAAATTAAAGTAAGAATGAGTAATGTTAGTTTCCTTCTTCTTTATTCCTAGATAATATACTGGGATGAAAAGACCCTCTACATCGAGCAACAGTTCATCACTCTAGCTGACGGTTTCATTCGAGCTGTGGTTCTCAGCAAACAAGGAACGATCAACTTAAATGTAGCTGAAATGATGTCAAAACTGACAGGCAAAGTTATTTCCTACAGACCCACACCTCCTCCAGAGCTACTTGATTGGCTGTCATCGATGGAGAAGTCTAGTGTTAGATTGAGGAATAAGACAGAATAGATATTGCTATTATGCTGTTTCTGTTTTGATACTTTTTTATTAATAAAACTAAAAATAAGGTTCGCACAGTGGTTCAACTACCTAAAAACATGGACAAAATGTAATTATAATAATAAAAATGACTTTTATTGGAATGTAAGTACATAACGCGTATTTCATGGACGACATTCCAAAAGGCAAGAGGGTCGGCACAGCGATTTTTCACGTTCCCTCAAAAGGTTACTATGATAAAAATTTATTTAGCATCAACTGGACGGAGTGATTAGCGTTTACAAAAAATATTATGCGCAAAAGACGTGCCAATATTTATAGGGTAGAAAGTACATCCAAAAATAACAAAAAAAAAAATCCTGTGAATACGAGTCAAAGATGCTCGTCTTCCCGGATACAGGATGATGAAGGTTTACTTACAAAATTGAAAAAGAATTATATCTACATAGGGATAGAAGATATTTTCTATCCCACTATACTTTTTGGAGAAAATAAGTGAGCTTCATAAAATACCATTCAATTTTGTATAAATTGTATCTCTGAGTGCTTATTGCTGATAATGTGCTCACTGAACGTCTAAAATCCTAACTCAGTATCTTCATCCGCTCCGTAGATATTGTGACGATAAATATACTAAGTGTCATATAAATCCGAACACCCAGTTTAAATGGTTTTATTTTAATAAAACTTTGTAAAAGTACTTAATGAAGCATAATAAGTAAATGATAAAAATTTCAAAATGATTGCACTGCTTTAAAGCCCTTTGACCTTTAATAATGTGTGGATGCACCCTGATGTGCTACGCATTCTCCAACGCGCCTAGGCATGCTTCTGATCAGGTGGTCAATGTCCTCCTGTGGTATCTCATTCCAGGCAACCACCAACTCCTCTCGAAGTGCTTCTAGAGTCTGAGGAGGACGTTGCAAATTGAGCAATCACCTACCCATCATATCCCACACGTGCTCAATTGGGGATAAGTCGGGAGATCTTTGTGGCCATGGTAACAATGTGACATCATTATGTTGAAAGAAGTCTATTGTGACTCTTGCAACATGTGGTCGGGCATTATCTTGTTGGAAAGTTGGATCTGCCAGGGTGTCAAGATAGGGTAAAAGATGGGGTTCTAGAACTTCGTGGATATAACGCTGCGCGTTCATGTTACCTCTGATGAAGATTAAAGGTGACCTGGAACCATAAGCTATAGCAGCCCAAACCATAACTCCAACAAAAAACTGTGGATTCCTCCTTTCACCACGTCGTCTTCTAACCCTGGCACGACCATCGTGCATGCCTAAACAAAATCGAGACTCGTCACTAAAGACAATACTGTTCCATTCCTTATCCCAGAGTGACCGTTGTCTGCACCACTCAAGGCGATTACGTCGGTGTTCTCGAGTTAAAGGGAGGACCCAGTGCGGCCGGTATGAAAACAAGCCAAAACTTCTCATTCGTCGGTAAACACTTCGCATGCCAATAGGACTTCCGTGTTCTGCAAACCATTCATTTGCAATGGACCTGGTAGTGGAGAAACGGTTCCTTAAGGCCAATAATCTTAGGCGGCGATCTTCACGGTCTGTTGTTCTACGGCGGCGACCAGTGCCCCTTGCTCTTTGCGTACGGCCTTCTCGAAGCCATGCCTGACAACACCTAACCACAGTGTCTACACTTCTTTGCACTCTAACTGCAATTGCCCGAAAAGAAAGTCCAGCTTCCCGAAGTCCCACTATACGGCCCCTATCAAACTCACTAAGTTGACGAAATCGTACAGGTCTCCGTACTCTAGGCATCGTAACCGATCGTAAAGGATGTCAAGAACCAAAATCCGCCAACGTTGATTCTTTACTGCGGCTGAAATATTCATTTTTAGAGCGTTAGTTAATTAAAAAAAACAGTATAAAAACCGGAATGTCCAACTGAAATTTTTTTCACTTGTTATTTACAGTAAGATAAATACATTCACCAACTTTTATTAAAATAAAACCATTTAAACTGGGTGTTCGGATTTATATGTCACTTAGTATACATAATATATTTCACTCCAAATGTTCGATAATGTATGGTGGCAATACCTCCTTGCTTGTTAATGGCAAAAACTTAGAACAGAAACTATACAATTTTTAGGAATACACATATCACAAAACTGTGAAAACGTTACCACCTTGATAAGTGGACATTGTTAATGTTTTACCATAAACATATCTATTCTAGTCAGGTTTAGGGGATAGAAGCATGGGGAGCATCGTCCAAGTTCCACAGGGTTTTTATAATACAAAAAAGAGCTATTAGTACCATTTCAGAATTGGGAAGGTGCTTTGAAGATATTAACGTCGCCTTCAGTATACCTACTAAATATATTTATTGATTTATGTCAAATCACACCCGGACAATTTTGGTTCTATAAATTCTGGAATTTACAGTACCAGAAACAGAGAAGTGTTGGAGGTGCCGTCACACAGGTTGTCGAGAACGGAGGAGAGTCCCAAATACCTGGCAATCAAACTCTTCAACATACTACCCATTGATCTTAAATCACTATCGCTGACATTATTTAAAAAAAGAATCAGGCAAATTTTACTGGATAAAGTTTTCTACTCTATAGAAGAATTTTTAACGTGTGATAATTTTTTTGTAATTGTTTTGATGTATTGCTTAATTTCAAATTGTAAATTTGTTTTCAATTTAATCCATTTTCAGGTTCATACTACTCGTGTTTTTTATTTGATATTTGAATACTGTTTATGTATATATGCAATCCATTTCATACAAATATTCCATTGACTTAATCACTTTGTGATCCGCAGGATGAATAAATTATTATTATTATTACATGGACCCATCTAGCTCAAGAAATCTATAGCTACGTTTCTCATGTAAATCATGAAATCACCTTTTTTGCTATAATTGCGATTGAAATGTTACTAGAGATTTATATTTTAAGAAACAAAGATTTGGTGACAGCAGATTAAAACACATGTTGCATTCTCGTAAAATAAATTCACTTTTGAAAATACTGTGGCTTGGTGCATAATTGAAAGAGATTGTAGTCCAAGGGTAATTTGAAAATGGTTCATTGTTAGACATCCAACTCAATAAAAGTAAAGGTTCCGTCTTCCCATAAGACTGTATCAGATGCGTTCTCCATTTGGAAATAATTATAAATGAAATAAAATACCGAAGAAGATCACAAGCCACATCACAAAATTACACATTGCTGACATGGATGAAAGTTAATTGAGGTCCTCGATAGTCGCTCTCAATAAGGGTAATGATATATTCTTATAAATAGATGGTTCGAACTCGTTATCTAGTGGTATTGTGAAACTAATACAAAAATAGCTTTACTATGTAGCAAAAGCATAAGACACATCTATATCGGCAGTGAAGTTGACTGATTTCCGTTTGGCGCCCATTTTATTGGCCTACCCTTGGCGTAAAAATGTGTGCGATATTGAAGTTGGTAAAAGACGCCATTTATAAATTGTAACGACGACTATCAGCGAATTGTCAAAAAAACAACTACGTAACAGGTCTTTTAGATGGAAATGTATAAAGTGTATCTAACGAAGCTACAAAGTAATCGTAAACAGTGGTTGATTCGTGATCAACGCGTGATCGGTAGCCATGGCGCTCTGTCGGCCTCTTCCTGATTGGCTTGTAGCGACGAGCCTCCAGACAAAGTCGCACGGTTGCCACGCTCGGCGAGTTTTCGCCAGAGTGGTTGATCACATTCGCATGGATCACAAATCAATCTGTTGGTGCAATACGTGCAATAACTGTTGTAAAGGACATTATATAACAATAAATGGCATCACAAAGGTATATTCCAATTTGATCTGCAGCAAATTATGAACGGCATATACGGAGATGCGAAAACAAGCTCAAAAAGGTGAAGACAATTTTTGTGCAATCTTTATGGTTAAATTTTTCCTAAGAGATAGCATCAGTGAGGGAATTTTTTTCTATTGTCTTATTTTTCACATTAATGCGATGTCGAGGTATGTGGCCCTATCGCAATTGAAAATAAGGTTTCGATAATCCTTCCATAAAGTTTCGATGAGTACATCTGAAATAACCTTGAGATATTCTTCAGGGAAATGCAAAAATCTCCTTTTGTGTTTTTTTGTGCAGATTTATCTATTAAAATCCTATCCGCAATCTATTTTCCGTGCACACACCTTCAACCGAATGTATGCCATATATGATATTACCGTTTCACCAACGTTAATAGGAACCATAACAGCTCCCTACCCTTCCCCCCTATAAGAATATCGATTTGTAGCCTCACATTTCAAGGTTAGACTTCTTGTAATGTTTCTGTTCAACATTCGGCGATTTCTGACAATTTTCCCAATAAAACATGATCATTGTGACATTAAGCCTGGCAACGCTGCATAGTAGAGGGAACTCTCAACGTCACGTTGATGGTTCGTCACCACGCACAGGATTGTAATCAGTTACGGATACCCCTTTATGAGCGCGAACGTTTTATGCACGTCTTGACTTGATTTTTCTTGCGGAAATTTAATATTAGTCTAAAATGTCTGACACAGATACAGCTGATGAAGTGGTTGAAATCAGCTTAACGCCACCCAGAAAAAGGGCTAAAAAGCTTCATCTTAGCGCAGGTGAAAAACAAATTATTCTAAATATCTACAAGAACCAGATGCAAGAGAATAGTGGATTGGCTATAGAAAATATCGTATGTAAGGTTGCTGACATTTCTGGAGTAGGTCGATCAAGTGTTTACAAAATCTTGAAGGAATATAGACAAAATCACTCACTATCTGAGCCAAAAACATATCCAGCGAGAAAAAAAATCATCGAAAAAATAGATGACTTTGACAAAAGTGCCATTAGAAGAAAAGTGCATCACTTTTTCTTCAGGAATGAAATACCTACAATAGATAAAATATTGAAGCAAGTGAATGATGATGAGGACCTGCCAAATTTTAAAAGATCTACGTTCCATAAGCTGTTGAAAGAACTAGACTTTCGATTTTTGAAAAGAGGAAGGAATAGTTTATTGATAGAAAAGGAGGAAATTGTTATCTGGAGGAGAGAATACCTTAGAAAAATTAGGCAATTCCGCGCTGAAGGAAGAAAAATTTATTATTTAGACGAAACATGGGTGAACGCGGGGCATACGCAGGGAAAGGTTTGGGTAGACAGATCTGTGAGGTCCTCAAGGCAGGCTTTTTTAGATGGCCTTTCGACGGGATTGAAAAATCCTGCAGGTAAGTTTCGAAGTATATGAACTTTTTTGGATGCAGATAATTCATTTTCTGATCGAATCAATGATTTGGAAGCTCCGAACTCAGTTTTGCTATCTCATCCAAGTTTCTGAGTATTTCCTTCACCCAAAAACTAATCTAAGACCCTATCCTACACTAACCTAAAAAGAGTAAGTTGCTTAATTTCGTCATTTAGTGCGCTCGCTGAGAAGTAAAATAACTAATTACTTTCAGGCAAGGGAAAACGCCTGA